CAGTGTTACTGCAGTGCTGAGAATGATCCACCACCCAAATAGTACCTGCTCTGTGAGGGTCCATGGGGGTCCTGACCACTGAAGAACAGGGTAAAAGGGGGCTAACAAAGTATGCAGAGAAACAGATGGACTACAGTCTGTAACTGTAGAACTACAAAGTGCACCTATATAGTAAGTGGAGCTGATAAAATGGACAATGAGCGTAGAAACAAGGAGGTGGTCATAATGTTATGCCTGATCAGTGTATATGTATATTTATCTTTTTGTTGATCCTGACATTGTATGCTCATTCTTTGTTTCTCTCATTTTCCTACAAGGTCAAGAATTTTTTTCTCCTGAAAATGTACAAAAACAAGAATATGTGCAGACATGCACACTCTTACTCACGCTGCTTTAAGCCCTCTGTCTCATAGTTACTGTATACATGCTAAGGGAAAACAGCGATGCCCTCACACTGTGCTGCGTGAGTCATGTGGAGGGTTTCTTGCTGATGTTTAGCAGCTGGAAGATTGTTATGCATTCCTCCAGCACGGATCGTGCCGTAGAGCTGCTGCTGATACCTGCCTCCACACACGCTTGTGCTGTGCTATTAATATCACTGTTTGTGGGTGCAGAAAGAGAACATGGAGAATAATGTTAAATAAGGAGAGAGTGGGCTCATGGTTCTGTGTGTAGATAAGTATGTGTGGGTGAGTGGGGTATGGATAGTGCAGCTCTGCTAACGTCCTTTTTAGAGATGAATCTAGTGCTCTTATTCCTGCATATGTGCAGTGTGGAAGCTTTGAGTGGTTCTTTACCATCAGTATGGTATGTAGGTCGGGTATATGTGACCTGGTCACTGCTAAAAGCATATAGAAAGTGACCTCTGTGCGTGGATAGCTTTCGGAAAGAACCAGAATGCCGTACTCATTCGTTCTACTCACTCTCCTTCAGAGAAAAAATGAAAAATGCTATGTAGGGAGACCTAGACCACCAGTGCTGGCACTTAGAAACATCACAAATTTAGTCATACAGGATAGGAGGGAAGAACCTAAAGAACCTTTCAATGCTTGGTTCTTTAGAGAGTAAATGAGATTTGTGAGTGTGAAGAACCTTTTTACAGTTTAAAGAGACCACTACATAGTGTACAGCTTTTAGGAAGAACCGTCAAATTGGTAAAGAACCTTTACATTACATGGAGGTTCTTTAAACATTAGAAAGTTTCTTACATCTCATTTACAAAAGTCGTTCTCTAAAGATCCATCCATTGAACCATGATTTCCTATAGAACATTTCAGTGAATGGTTCTTTAGAGAACCATTTTGTAAATGTGAGGTCTGAGAGAAGAACCTTTGTAAAGTTCAGAGGACAACCACACATTGTAAAGATTCTAGGAAGAACCCTTGAATTGGTAAAGAATGTTTATATATGTCTTTAAATGTCTTCCAACCCTTAAAAGGTAAATGTATATTGTTCTATAGGGAACCAAAAGGGGTTCTTCTATGGTTCTTCAGAGAACCCTTTATGACACCTTTTTGTTGTTTTTTTTTAAAAATTGCCTCTTTCCAAGGTAACAGTAGGTCATATAGTGTCAGACATTGTGTAAGACATGTTTGCATGATGCTAATTGATACTCTATAAGCTTCCATTACTTGTTAGCTACATTAACATCACAGCTCCAGTGCAAAATTAATGTGAATTGGTCTGATATGGATGTCAAAACACTTTTCACTGATCTTAGACTTTAGACTAAAATCTTTAAGCTTTGAGTGACACCTGAGTTACAATGTTTTGGTATTAAAACAAATGATTGAACATTCAATTTTGTCATTATGAAACAATCATAACACTTTCAAAACTTTACCAAAGTTGCAGTAGTGACTGTTTCTACAGTGACAATTTTAGCTCATTTTGAGCAGAACTCAAAATCGCTAGTCAGTACATGACTAGCAAACACAGCTTTGAACAGCTGTACACACATACAATCATAACATGTTTTATTAAAATGCAAAACATGTTTCGGTATTGACAATTCTTAACGTTCCGCAATGATTTTCAGACTTTGGGACTTTTACTTTAAAACAATGGGATCTAACTGCTCACCATGTGGTCATGAGGGACAGGGATGCAGCCTCACTTCCTGCTCTAAATTGCAGGGGACGTAAACGTGAGACAGCACTTTTACAATATTTTTATTTGAAAATTAACCTCATGATGAAACATTTCAACTTCACTTCAAATGAAATCAAAAAGATATTAAAAAAAAAACAAAATGCAATTATAGAAAGTTCTCTATAAATGATGATTTTGTATATTTCTATTTGGTAATGTCTCTGTTAGTAGTTAGATTATGACAATCCTTGTAAATATCTAAGGTCTGAATACTTAATTGTCTTTTGTAAATCATTTTCGTTTGTTTGTTTTTCCTGTGTGGTGGAAACTAATTTGGTCCATAAAATGGGCAGAATGGTCCATAAAAGCTTTGCAGGCTACATTTATGCAACTGTTTAATAGGCGTGAGTGATTCTTATGCATGCGTGGGCATCAGTAACATGGGCAAAAAAGTTCAAATAAATAGGAAAATGTTCTTGTGTGACAATTTAAATCAAAAAAAGGAAAGAAAGAGCAACAGATAGAGAGAGAGAGAGAGAGAGAGAGAGAGCTGACTCTGCTTGGTCATGGAGCGCCATGCCGCTCACTCATTGATGTGCACGTCCATAAATGTCTCCACAATGACTCAGGACCTATGCCACGTCTCCAGGTGAGAGCAAAGCACGATGGGAAGTTTTCGGCGGCCCGTGCAGCTGCCAGAGCTCAAGGTGAGCAACTCGGCAAGCATAAATCTGCATAGCAGATGAGCCACGGGCTCCCGCCGCCTCCCACTTAGACTTGTTTGTTTTGTTGTTTATCTCTCCCTCTTGATCTCTCGTTCTCTCTCATTAAGCTCGCCTGTTTCCTCCTCTCGCTCCCGCCTCTCTCTCTCGCCCATTAAGTTCAGTTGTTTTCCCTCTCTCCCCGTTTCATTCTGCATTCGGCAGGCATGCCACAGTAAAGCTATCTGGTGGCAATACGGGTCCAAGCACTCGCAGGCTTTCTCAGGCTGCTCCTCTTGCATGACTTTTCCTGTTCCCCCCAGAGCACCTGTGAAACACATGCAAAGAATAGTAAACCGTATCGAAAAATACACCCCAGATGTTTGCCGAAAAAAGTTGTTGAAATGTTTATGAAGAGTTGTGAGAGCTTGTTTAGGCTACAGAGTATTGTAAAGCTTTTAAATATTCAACATATGGCTGAAAGGTTCAGAAGACATTCTGTCTAGCACATGTTTCACATTTTGGTATAAAGAAATGTGCAACAGACTGAAGTATGGAAGTAAGGAGTGGCTTTTTGAAGTCGTTTGCAAATGTTTGGGTGCCCCTGCTCTATGTTTTGTTGATTTTCAAAGTGCTTATCTTCAGAGAACACACTGCAATTTTTTACTGCATAGAAAGTAACTTTAAAATGTAGCATGTGCATACAGGGAGGCCTGTACAAACGTTATGGCACATTTTATATTTTATCTTCTATTTTTTCCCAATATGTTACATTCAGCATATACATAGAATTCCAGAACATTTTGCTGAGAAATACCATATTTAGCTGTGTTCCCTGTAAAGGATGTTAACTTATTTTCACAAACCTATAAAACATGGAATTTGACCAGAAGTATTTAAATTGTTGCATACAACAGTATATAATCATAATCATAAAATAGACTACATTTAAATAAGTTTACCAGAAACCAGTCCAGCATATTTATTGACATCCAATTCAACCTAAAGAAATTTTTCATTGCAATGAAGACGGCTTACTGTAGTATGTTAAATGGGAACATCTTCACTTTCTTTGTTGATAACAGTTCCATACATTGAGCAGTTTTTGGTTCTTGACACACTGGTAATGTAACACCTGAATCAGCTGATGAAACCATCTGAATGGGAGAACATTTAGGAATCAATTCGATGGACAATATTTCTGCAGTTACCCTAAATTCACATTAAAAAGTGAAACATTACCATCACATAAGCTTAGTCTAAGTAAAGTGACCGTTCATCCATTTTAAACTGCCTCCATCACATACCTGCTTCGGAGGGAATATCTTTTTAATTAAACAGATAGTGGGTGTAAAAATTGACAGCAGAAACAGATACAGCAGTTTTTGCTGCTATGTCTGAGAAGAGTTGCCTTTACATGGCTTTAGTATAGCTCAGGAGCTGCTCTGCAACTATCACACTAACATGATCGTCACCTTTTGGTAAACTATGATTTTATATAGTTTAAAATGGTATAGAAAGTGGGAATGTTGGATTTGACTGGGTCTCTATGGATTTTATACTTCACTCATGTGAAGTGAGAAATATTAGTGTATCTGTTCCAGTCTAAATATGTAATATTTCTCATTTTGAGATATTACAAATTTAATATTATGTTACTTACTTAATATTAATATTACTTATTTTTAGACATTTTTTCAATTGTTTTAAGTCATTTTATTTAGTGAAATTGTCTTACTCTGTTGGTGTGGTTGCGTGGTTGTTTCAGTGGAATGAGACACATTAATTACATAAAATTACATAAAACTAGAAAAGAACATCTAGAAATAGGTTAAAAATGTTACAGTATTCTTACAACATCTCTTAATGAGAAATATTATATATATATATATTTTTTTTTTGACTTCATTTCCTTAAGTTTTCCCTTGCAAGCATACCATTTACTCACCTCAGCAACACACTTTTGAATCCATGTTTAGTCATATTACTGTTCATTATCTCTAGAAAAAGTAACATTTTCACTTTTAACTCATGATGTTGCTTCCAACCTTTTGTCTGTAATGTATGTTCTTTTAAATGAACTGTGAAAAAAACATGAAAGATCATTTCATTTTACTTGCATGTGCTCTCCAAAGGTTTGCAACATTAGCATTTTCATAATTTTATTCATATTTTCTCATCTTTTTGTCTTTATTTTGTGCACTGCAGGTTCGGAGCACTGTTTCCGGAACTTCACCGCTCCGACCGGCGTGATCGAGTCGCCCGACTTCCCTGACAAGTACCCTCACAACCTGGAATGCTCCTACATCATCATCACCCCTCCTCAGACTGAGGTCACCCTCACCTTCAAAACCTTCGACCTGGAGAATGACCCCTTGCTGATGGCCGAGGGTGATTGCAAATACGATTGGCTGGAAGTGTGGGACGGCCTGCCCCAGGGTGAGTGCTTCTAGATAACTAGCGCTGTATAAGTGATGATGGATTAGGTGGGGCAGATGGTGCTGAACATGTGGTTACTTTGGTTCAAAGGGGGGAAAGGTGTTCCTAGTTGGTTTGAAGAGATATGGCCAGAGCCCACCAGCCAGAGCCCACCAGTCTGGGCCCACCGGCAGGCCCAAAGTTTTATTATACACTTCTATAACCTAAGAATAGCTCAACCAATTTGCACTGAACTTCCTGTACACACTTAAAAATTATGGTTCTTTAAGGGTTATTTAGTAAAGAACGTGGTTCTATATATATAGAACCATGAACACTCAAGGAACCCTTTGCATGATAAAAAGGTTCTTTGCATCGTGAAAGCGCTCTTCAGATTGATGGGGAAATTTATAGTGTTTTATATGGTTCCATATAGAACCTTTTTAAAAAAAGATTCTATATAGCAACAAAAAGAGTTCTTCTATTCTTTCAGGCTAAAAGTGTTATAACAATGGAACAATGCTTTTTGGTGCTTTTCAAAAAGGTTCCATATAGAACATTCACAGCACATTCGCCATCAACCTGAAGAACCATTTAGCGATACAGAGAATCCTTCAATAATGCAAAGGGTTCTTTAAGTGTTTATTGTTCTATATAGAATTTTTTCTTTACTAAAAAACCCTTAAAGAACCGTCATTTTTAAAAGTGCAGTTATTTAAAAATAGCCCTTTGCATGTAATAAGTCTGGGATTTTAAGGGGTTAAGAAGTATTACATTCATTTGAAGGTGTGAAGATATTGTTCTAAAATCCACTTAAAACCTGTATTGAACAAGAGAGCAGCATGAATTCTATCATAACAACATACAGTGCACTGCAGCTGGGCTTCGGCCTGCACTACCAAGGATGGTCAAACTAGGAAAATGCTTGAACGATTTGTGGTGTTAATAATTTAACACAGTCCAATTGACAATTTGGGAGCCCTAATTTAAGTACAAGTACACAGTTTCATAAATACAGTTCCATAATAAATTATATTCATATTAGTTTTACATTCTGTATCAACAGATTCAGGTCTACATATCTGACTTTTCTTTTTTCTAATTTGTTTCCATAGCAAGAAATTACAAAATACAAAACAAAACATAAAAAAAACAAGACTGTATGCACAACACTAACTTTCCATCAAAAATGTCCCTTATTCTACCTGTGAATGTAATTTCAAATGCACACTTTCAACTCTCTCCATTTGAGCCACGTGTAGAAACGCTATCAAATTACAGCATGCGATTTGTCAGTCTAAGCTTTGTAAGGATTAAGAAACTTCTCCCACTATTAAGCTGATTTCTGTACAGTTGCCAAAAGCTGAGAAATGGTAACATATTTTTTTTTGCTTGAAATATGAAGCTGTTTTTCCAACTGAATTTTATCTCGCTCTCATATGTAGTGCATCATCAGCAGTCTTCTGAGTGGGTGTGAAGTGCTCCTTTTAACTCAAGGTCTTGAGCATGCCAGCCTGCTATTGAGCTCTTCCTCCTTCTCAAGAGTACGTGTTGACACCTTCGAAGAGGCCGGAGGCTTCCGCCATGACTTATTTCCTGTTTTCTCCACCTCATCGTCTGTCGCGATCCCCTTTCAAGCCCTTTCTCGCTCCCTCTTCAGACCATCCTTATCTGAGAAGTCTCTTCCTTCCTTTTTGAGAAGAGATGAGGAGTGATTGTTTTATCTCTCCTGTGGAAGGCAGAAGATAAGGAGGGGAAGATGTTTGTGCTGAAATTAGTGTCAGCTGAGGCAAGCATGTGGGCGTTCCAGCAGTTAGAACATTTGGGCCTTTTGCAGGTGTTGGTTTTATTTATGGGATGTCATAGATGTATAAAGATGGAGATCACAGGAACGGTTGCATTTTATATCAACATTGATGAGTGAGTCATTCTAACTGACAAACAGTTTGCCGAAATGCTTGTGTGAGGCGAACTTGACTTTAGAAGTCACAGTGATTGTCAATGATGACAAAAGCATCCCCCAGTTTTTTCCCTCAGTGAAGTTGTGACCGGTTTCCACCCACTTGCTAGGTCCCCCACCTATGAGTCAGTTCTACCAAGTTGGGAAGATGAAGGTTAGCTTGTGCTTCCTCTAAGACATGTGAAGAATCTTTTCAAATCAATGTCATTGGACAGCTTATGATGCTTGGAGAACTCTACCTGCCAGCTGCTCCATGACTGTAGCCTCTTGCTCTGGTTCATACAGCTCATAATTTATTGTTGCATGGAGGGAAATTGGAGATATTAACATCCTTTTTAGACAAGAGAGTTACAATCACAGATTCTATTCTAACAAAATACAGCCTGCTACAGCTGGGCTATAGCCTGCACTACTATGAATGTATTGACAATTTTTTATATTATAATGTAACACATTGACACATTTGACAGACCTAATTTTAGTAGAATCATGTAATTTCATAAGTGACATGGTTTCACAATAAAGTATAATTGCATTATATTTACATCCTACAGTCTGCATTTCTGACTTCTTGTTTTGATAGCAAGATATGACAAAATGTTGCAAAATGTAACATAAAATCAATGGAAATGGAAAACAATTGGAAGCACAGGCTTGAATCTGACCAACTATACTGATTTGTAAGTAAAGTATGCAATTACTTGATTACATTTAAATAGTATAGCAACCTTAAACATCTATGTGTAAATCATTTAGAATAATAATCGTTTAAAAAGGTTTCGACATGGTACTTGGTTTAGTCTGAAAACTTTTAATTAGTGTAGTGTAGTGATTTTTAAAGCTTTAAAATGGTTCTTCACACCCATACATCTCATTTACAAAATAGTTCTTTAAAGCAGTGATTTTCAAACTAGTCCTAAGGTTTTTTTTCAGGCAGCCCATATTTTTGCTCTACCCACCTCCCGACAAAGTGATTGAGCAAAAATGTGGACTGTGTGAGGGGTCCTGAGGACTAATTTGAGAACCACTGCTTTAAAGAACTATTAAAGAATTGGTTTTATAGGTAATCAAAAGTGGTTCTGATATGGCTTCACTCCCAAGAACCCATTATTTTTAGGAGTCTACATGCACTACCTAGGTTTTCTTCATCTCAAAACTTAAACTTCATTTACTCAGTGGCTCAAATTGGGCAAAATAGGCACAGTTTTCCTTATTGTAGGACCCTTTACCTGACCTCCTCAAAATAGCAAACAAACAAACACACAAACGATAAGCCTGTGAGGTATAGGAGCTAGAAATCAAAAGCTCTAGCAGTCAGAACTTGTGAAAGAAATCACAGAAGATCCCCCCTAATCCAGGATGCTGGGTTGGATTGAGGACAGAGGATCACACTATGTCTCGTCAGCCGTTCTCAAGAGTGGGGAATATCCAGTCTCTGTCGTGACTAACGGCTTTCAATCTGTTCTGGAGTCAGCAGAAGCTTCTTAGCCATGATATTTTTACAGTGGGCAAATCAACATCAACCTTGTCCTTGTCTGCTGGGCATCATTAACTCATGTTGTCTTTGATAACCTATCATTTATTAGTGTGATTTGACATTGCATTTTGAATGTGTCTACCATCAGTATTAGCCAGACATTTTCAGTTGAGCATTTTTTAATGAGCCTGTAGTGCTCATTTTATCATTAACAAGTTATTGTAATAGCTCATGTAAAATAGCTCATGCTAAAGCTTCAGCCTCAAGGCTGTCAAGGACACTGTACTGTAGCGTCGGCACAGAAGATGTGGGACCAGAAAACCTTGGAATGGAAGTGGTGGGGGCTAGCACACACTATAGCTCTTCTATGCCTTGTGGCTATCAAAAGGACTGCTCTTGCTAGCCAAACTAGTAGGGGGCAATGATTTTAAATCAAATTTGCATAAACAGTGAGGCAAACATGTTAAGACAGTGGCAGTGCTATAACTAGGGTCTAGTAGGCCTCAGTTCTCTTAAAATCACTGCTCTGCTCAGATTTCATTTCATTAAAAAAAAACATGTGAACAAATAAACTGAAGCAAAAATCACTGCCTAAAAATCATAGACATTTTCAATATTTCATTTTTGACAAAATCCCAATTCAACCAATAGCCATAACTGTGAGGGCTTGCTAAGCTTTGCTCCATCCTGAACCAACAACACTCTCTAAGACACCCAGCTTTCAGTGCTGAATCTATGCATTTCTTATGCGCTTGTGAATTTATGATAGTAAGTTTGTCAAGTTCTGCATTAGCAGTGATGCTAGATAAGCATGGGGAGGACTGTTAGGTGAATAGGAAGCATATTAATAAGCACAAGTAGCCAAGCCCATCACAGAGATCTAAATCTGAACATGATACAATCTGCAAACAGTTTATCAACACAAAGACATACATGCCATAAATTACCAGCATATAAAAGTCATGTTGGTCATTATTGCTCCTGTATTTAAATCAGGAGTGGTAAGCGGTTGTCCCCTACTGCGGTTTTTCCCTGCTACAGTGTTTAACGACCCTTAGCAACCGTCTCAGTTACAAAGATACTCAGGGCTCGATTTGAGGCTGAAAAAAAGACAAAATCATCCTCTTTGTAGAACTGCCATCTCCCTTTCCATTCCCTTTCAGATTTGGATGTTATGCAATATCACCTAAGAGGTGTATTTATGTTATTTCAGCTCCATCCATATTTAAGATTTACACACCAGGTTGCCCAGGGAGCTCTTCATGTACTGACTCAAGAGATGCTTATGTAAAATTAACACTTTCACTTGAGTGTTCGGGGCAGCATGTGCACTAGCTGTACTGAATGTTCATATTCTGAAATGTGAACCAGTAAGATATCCAAAGTTAATAAAGCAGTATGTTATATCTTGTATAAAAATTAGTATAAAATTTCTTTTATTTCACATTGATAATGTTACATTGATATATCAAGTTTCGTGTGGTTAGTGTTACATTGATATATCACACTGATATGCTACATTACTTGACTTTAGATATTTTAGACATGTGCCCTCCAACCCCCGATTGTTTGAACCCACCACTTCCCTCTAGCCTATCCCCCTGCCCACAGGAGTAAAATTCAAATTCAGCCCACCCATTAGTTTGACTTGCTCAGCCAAAACGCCAGTCCTGGTGCTGCTACTGCATTAACGGGTCTTGTTACCTTGTCAACTGTTCACTTCCATAATGTGCTTACAAAACATTGCTTCCTTACAGTGTATTATTTGGTTCTACCAAATGAATGAATAAGTTGATTAAGCCTCATATGTAGGCTCAGAGATGGAGTGCTGAATCAGTCCATAGTAAGTTTGGTGATTTTAAGCAGATCTTTAAACAGTGCTCTCGCTGTGCAGTGCTTTATGAACACCAGGCGGACTAATACAGTCAGACTTTATGTCCAAATCAATAAGTCATCTGTTACTGTATTAACCTGGTGTTTAACTCTTTGATTTTTCAGTCTTTTATGTGGAAGGTAGCTTTTACAAGTTCACTGTAGAGTCTTAAGTGTTCCATTTAAAGCCATGAATTACTGAGTGCTGAACTGCTCCTTTCTTCCCTCGACAGGCCAATAATCAGGGATTAACAGTTGAGGATTTTTCAAGCCCCCCTAGAAACTCATGAAAGCAGACTCATTGGAATTCACAGGAGCAAGAAGATAGAGAGTTTTGAAACATTTTGAGCGTTTAAGGTTAGGGCTAGGGGTTCTCAAACTGGTCCTCCAGCCACATCTTTGCTCCAACACATATGGAGCAAAATATGGAACACCTGGGAACCCCTGAGGGCCAGTTTGAGAACCACTGCTCTAGAGCATCGCCATTGTAAGCAGAAGGATATCAGCAGATGCTTGATGTTCCTCATGATTCTGATCTCAGTGTTTTTGCTTGACTTTTTCCGACAGTGGCACCACTGATTGGACGATACTGTGGCACAAAGATCCCTCCAGAGATTGTGTCCTCAACTGGGCTCCTCTCTCTGTCCTTCCACACCGACATGGCTGTGGCCAAAGATGGCTTTTCTGCCCGCTACAACATGACCCGCAAGGAAGTTAGCGACAGTAAGCATGATAAAGATTTTCATTTCCAGAGTCATTTATTGTTTATTAATGGACTGTCTTATTAGAGCTGCCAGCAAGGCAAGTTAAATGTAATCTGAGAGAGGCTGAGTAGCTCTGTCCTCTCTATCTCTTCATTTATACGTCATTTATAAGCCTTTATCTGTCTGTCTTGCTTTATCTACATCTCGTTCCCATTTTCTAATCTTTCACTCAGTGGATCCGCAAGCAAACTTTCCCCTTCCTCCCTCTCTTGTGTGTCTGTTTACATTGTTTCTCATCATTCAATTGTAACTCAATCTCTTCCTCACCCTTCCATTCAGTTGTTAGGAAGCTCTGAGTAAGCTATGTTTCTTTAGTCACTGCTTTTGTTGTTACAGATTGAGCAAGGTATTTTGAAAAGTCTCCCGTTACCCTCTTGCTCTCGCTTCATCTCCCCCAGCATTCCACTGCAGTACCGCCTTTGGCATGGAGTCGGGGAAGATTTCTGATGAGCAGATCACGGCATCCTCTTCCTTCTACGACGGCCGCTGGCAGCCTCGGCTGGCCCGCCTCAACAACGAGGACAATGCCTGGACGCCCGCAGAAGACAGCAACAAAGAGTACATTCAGGTAGGGTTCTATCCCAGTGGTTATCAGCAGGTCTTGAATCAGGACCCACATTGGTGCTTTATCATTCTAAGCCCAAAACATTGCTTTCTTTCTAAATGGAAGCTTAGAAGGCTTCGTACTTTTGTTTACTGATACTTCACCATGGAAAACACTGTGTTTCACTGTATAAAAGCTTGGGATCACTTTTTTGAAGAATATAATGCAGTTACTTATAAATTGAGTCTAATATGTTGCTAATAGTCTACAGCTTTCAAATAATTTATAGGAAGCTGTACAAATTAAGACATTTTAATGATGGAGCTGCAGATGATAATAATAAAATGATAAACTATCAATTCAGTTTATATCAATTCAATCTACATGTGTTAGTTAGAATTGAATAGCATTTGTTAATGTGGCAAAACGGCTTGGAATTATGGTTGTAGGCAAAAACTTCCACTGATGTACGTTGCATTATATTATGTTTCAAAAAAGGTTCCACTGAAAGGTTCTTTAGAAGAACAAAAGTTGTTCCCTATGGCATAAATACAAAGAAACCTCTTTGGCAGTTTTGTTGTAAACAATGTAGTTAGTATCATATTTTTGTTTTAAGGTTTTGCTGACAAAAACAACCAGACTGCTGTGACAGACTGCTTTCTGTTTACGTGCCTGATGTTTTTCTGTTAAGCTCACTTAATTTTAAATTTTTGATCTACATGCCAATTTTTATCATTCGGCTTTCAATGACAGGTCTCATTCACAAGTTTTAAACAAGATGGAGCCATTGCCTTTCAAAATGAGAGCACAGTTTGGAAAAGAAAAGTTCTTTGACTTTTTGGTAGAGAATAAGAAGACCTATGACCCTCTCTGTAGCTGCTCTTGACACTTTTTTGGGTTGCGACCCAAGAACCATTGCACATACTCTCCTGCGCACACAATAAACCCGCGTAGGAGTACTCAATCTCGCCCCTTGGTAGACACCACGCTCCATGAACGCTGTGTTTGTTGTCTCGGCGGGGAGTGATGATGCGTGCAGGGCCTAGTATGATGGTAACCGCCTCGTGATGGATGAGGGCACTCCTCAGAAATCCATGGTTAGCAATCTTCTCCTGTGCCATCGATTTTAGATCCCCTGCTACCCTCGTGCTTTCTTTCACCATCGTCTCCAGAATGGCGATTACGTTCAGGCCTGGAAACACTTGTCTTGTGTTTTTTGATGGATCAGAGGCTGAATCACCTTGTGCTAAGGTTATTCTCCTTCAAGACACCCTGACAATAAATCATCAATGAAACTTTATAATGAAAGCTGTAGTGGGTTTGCTGGCATGAGCTTGAAGATCAGATTCTCTGTGTGGACAAAAATAGCTCCAAACAAAGTGAATTATGTAATTTTCTTGTTTTGATAGGTAGCATACATAGAGAACCCTGAAGTGAATTTTTTTATATTAACTTTGTTATCTGATACTTTCTTATCTTCCTTCAGAGCAACAAGCTCCTTATATTAAGAAACATCCTATTTTGATCTCTGTTCTCCAGCCCAAATGAAATCATACTGTTTTTTTTCTATCACTCCCTTATTTTCTTCTCTTTCATAGGTGGACCTGCACTTCCTCAAGGTTCTGACCGGTATTGCCACTCAGGGAGCCATATCAAAAGAGACGCAGAAGTCTTACTATGTCACCACTTTCAAGCTGGAGGTCAGCACCAATGGAGAAGACTGGATGATCTACCGCCATGGCAAGAACCACAAGGTAGGGAAAACAAAGAACTTGGTTGTCTTCCTTCCAGGAGCTATATGGCTTTGTGGAACCTGAAGAACCTCTTAGCATCACAGTAAAAATCATGAAAGCCAAAGAAAATCAAAGCCACAGGCTTTGAGGAACCTCTCATCAAAACCTGAGAATTGCGGAGGATGATGCAGAGAAGATTCTTTGGGGTTTCATTATGAAACAAATAATCTTTCTTGACAGATGTTTACAGAATTGTGAATATACTGTGAGGACAATTTTATAATGATTTTTTGTAGCTGAGATTTGCCTCATTTTGATGGTGTTTGGTTTGGTTTTCCTTTGAAACACAGTGTTTTTCCAGAATGTCCCTGAATTACCGACACATAATAGTTTTCAGTGAAATTTACCCATATTTGCGTACAAAGACTGCAATAATGAATTGAGATAAGAGGCTAGAAATGCCCTGGAGGAAGTAAAGCCACTGGACTTAATTGCCATGGGCCACTGGTGGGGGGAGTTATAATGACTGTTGGGAGTGGTGACCTCGGTCCCAGGTGACCCCCTCATTGATCTGTGGACAGAGAAAGTGACATGGGAACAGTTTGAGGGATGGTTATCTGGCAACCTGGGAACAATAGAGGCCTTTGTGTGCCCTTATCTCTAAAGGCCATTCGTCATGCCTATGCACTAGCTGCTGTAAACACACCTGCATGACCGGTCACACACCCCCACACCTGGGCTTGTACAGACCCTAACCATGGGAGAGGATAATCTGGGTGTTTGTGTTTGCTGCGGAAGTGTACTATCGGAATCCATGGTAGCTTTGTGATCTTGTCAAGTTATTTATTGCTATATCTCATTTGAAAATAAGGGATGTGTGACAGATAATTTTTCCTTATGGTTGCATTGCCCATACTTCTTTTCAAGGAAAAGTTGTTTTTGGATAGTATTTTAGCTTAATTTATCTTCCCTGGTGGCTAGTTTTTGGCAGATTACCACAGAAACTACTGCATCAGTCTAATCATACAGCTTAGATTTAGACTTCTAGTTGCTTAAATTAGCCATTACTTTAGAAAGACATATAACTTTGGAAGTGATTTTGTGGCTACTGAGCAGAAACAACTGATGTAGGCACCAGAGGCCTGTCTCCTGAAGCAGGATTTCTTGCTAAGCCCAGTAACTTTACGCTTAGTTCGATCAAACCCTGGATTTTCTTTCTTACAATGGTAGATCACTTTATACCTTGATAGATTACCATGGCTACTTATGCGGTGCACCCACAAGTTTTGGGTTTTGTGAAGCTGAAATTTAGTCTGGAATGTGCTTCGTGAGATAGGCCCCAGGTGCCTGACTGACAGAAGCTGTGCCATTAGGCTAGGATTAGCATAACTGCTAATCTCTGCTATCCTCCTCCCCAGTGTAAATTTAGACTTCAGATGCTAAATTTGCAGGAATATCTTGTTTCATTTACTTTTTAGTTTCCATTTGCTTTTCATTCCCCTCTGAGGGTCACCAAGTCTCGTGACCGCTAATCCCACAATATTAGCGCCAGACAGAGTTTAATCATAACCTCAGAAAAGATGCTTAAGTGTTTTAACCCCTTCTTCACACTGGGGGGTAGACCCTGTAATAAGTGTGCTGGGATTAACCTCGCACTTGTCTTTTTTAAGTGGGTTAGCTTTTGATTAAAAGATTAATCTTGCTGTCTGGAAGAGGGTTGAGCATTAATGCTAGATTGCTGGTCCTGACCTCCAGGCTGAACCAGGATTTATAATGGGCTTAGTCCTGGGCCCAAATCTATTTGTGCCATAGAGGTTTCCATTAAAGTGTAAGTAAGCCTATGCATCATAATATGCACACTCTGGGTTGCTGTTGTCCTCTGAGGGACATGCTGTGGTTTTCAAATGTGTCTAATTAGGGGGGAAACCCTTTTAATGCTTTTAGCCAAGGAGAATGGGAGAACAACAGATGCCCGGGGCGAAAGGTCATTTTTTTTAGGGGATATGTTTGCTTTGCTGATAGCAAAACTTGCCTGTTATTGTTCACGTTAAGTAATAATCTGTAATCCAGCATTGTAGCAGCAGTCACAACTACAATACCCAGCATGCATTACACAAATACATTGTACAGCCCTTGGGAACCCGCCATGGCAATGTTCAGCTTCAGCGATATCATTAGCTATCTGGCATCTTTCTTTTTTAGCCAACCAGCAGGGAAAAAAAAATATTACATTTCAAACAACTTACCCTGAAGTAAGTGCTTGTAGTTTTTCAAAAGTTCCTCCCACCTTCAAGATATTATCAAAAAACCTTTCAACCAGAGTCCCCTGTGGTACCACTGTAGGATGCAAGTAAACGTTTATAACAGATGTAGCAGTGATTACATGTTTTGTTTTGGCCTTTTAAGTGCCACTTAAAAAATGAAAGTACTAAATGGAACCAAAAAAGTGTTCTTTAGACACTTCTGTAAATAAGTACAAAGTATGAAAAATCTTTTAGAAAGTTCGAAGAACTTTCACATCATGCAAAGGTCCAGTAGAGGTTTTCCTAGAACCCTGCTATTAGCAGGATATATTTTGTTCATAACCTTAGAACGACGGATAAGCAGTTTAACTCTTTGTCCAAGCCTTGTCCTTTAAATTGGTTCATTTGGTATTCACTTTGTGGGGTCTAAAGAAGCTGAAAAGACCCTCTTCAGTAGGGGGAGGGGTAGCCTCCATTCTGTATGTGCACAAGTTTGGCCTAAATAGGAAATTGTTAAGACTGAGACAGACAGTGCAGGGATGCTATTTTGGATGGTTTCCGTTTACAGCCAGGGTTGTTGATGAAACTTGCTTGAGCCAATTAATTGTCTGGACCTTAAGCCTCTCTCACTCTCTCACACTATACACATGCATACACTCCCATCCCTCATTTATGGCCGACACACACAAAGGGTCAAACGTAACCCATAACAGCCGGAGCATATACATAAACATTTTTGCACGCATACATAGGGTGGGAAATCCCACAGGCCCCCAAAAAACTGCTACACATCCTGTTTATGATTGAAATTCCTATAAATCCATCTCACACGGCAAGCAATATATCTGTCACACAAGCTTGGCGGCTGCAAAAAGAAACAGCATACAAAGCAATTTGGTTTCTCTCCTTGGTCCCTGTGCCAGAGACGGGAGGGGAGGCACGGGTGGAAGGGGGGGTAATGGAGAGGGGTCTTGTCATTTTTTACACTCACTGACAGAAAGCTCTTTTGGGGATGGGGGATAGTAAAAAGCACTGTTCAGAAGTAAATGCTTCAATATACGGTTTATGAGAGTGCATACACATGCACATAGTTTCCGTGCGCCTTCTCATCTGCTTGAAGCTGGCGGGCGGCCAGCTGGAACCAGCTCCTATTGTCAACGTCTTCATCTGAGCAGAGGTGGAAGACATGGAGGAGAGAGAGGGGCTGAGAAGAAGCAATATCTTGGAAGCAGTGTCTTGAGCTGGACGTAATTTATTTGTTTGTTTGTTTTTTCGCAATACAGAAGCGCCGGCCTGCTTGTTGTTGTTTTCACGGCTCGCAATTTCCAAGCTAGAACAACAAAACTTGGCAGGATTGTGGAGCCTACACCAGAATAGTTTGCTTGAGCTTTTGAGACTGTTAACGTATATGATTTTCACACAGCGTTCATTCAAACACGTTTTTTTTTTTTTCATAAGAAAATGAATGGCGGAATATTGAGAAGATTAAAATCTAACTGCCACCAATGATCTCTTACATTGCCTCTTATAGACGTTACATGCAGACTCACATACATACTGGCGCACGTATACATAAATACTAGCAACCACCTGGGATCCCATAGCAAATGCCTAGCAACACCCTTACCAACCACCCGGACTACCATAGCCATGGCCTAGCAACATCCTAGCAAGCACCTAGGACGCCATAGCCACAGCCCACTTTAGCAACTTTAGCAACCACTTGGGAATTCAATGGCTTTATCAAGCCAACTTAGTTTGTTCATGAACTTTCCCCTTCTAGTTTGCCACTGTTAATCAATTTGGTCAAACAAGAGCCATTCGAATGTGCTGAGGGAGTTTTCTGCTAATCAGTGCAATACATAATGTGCTACTTGGCAGGCTGAAAAGATTTTTTTTTAATTCTGCTGGTATAGAACAGTGGTCCCCAAACATTTTGCAGTCCTCTACCCCTCCCACTTCCAGACTTTAATTTAGTAAACTTTAAATTTATAATCACAAAGGCATCGGTATGTCAGTACGAGGGTGCATATGTGTGAGAGAGAGTCTGTGGCTGCTGCCCCTGTTGGGAAAGTACTTGTGTAATTGGATGACTGGCTAATGAATTGACAGTAAATTAATCTCAGATTTTTTTATGTACCCCGAATGTCATTGGGCACCACAGTTTGGGAACCACTGGTATAGTACTATGGGATTCATTTGAAGATTAACAAAACTGTTTTTAGATCTGGTTAATAGGATGTTTGGTACATAACTATGTCATTATTTTGGATGTAATAAGGCTGTGGTATGGGGTCTGGTCAGCAGGACAGTTGATATAATACTATGGGATTATTATGGAGATTAATAAAGATGTGTTTAGGTCTGGTTAGCGGGACCGTTGATGTAGAACTATGGGAATATTTTGGAGATTAATGAACTTGGATTTGGATCTGGTTAGCTGGACAGTTTGTTTAGAACTGTGGGAATATTTTGGACATCAACAAGGCTTTGTTTAGGTTTAGACAGTACTATCTGTGTCCCAATAACAAAGATCTTGACTAAACCTGTTTGTCCTGCATTTCTCTTTAGCAGCATTAATTTCATGGAACTCTACCAGAAGGGATCGGTGGGTGGTGACCACAACCCCTGTCTGTCAACCTTCTTTCTTTTTCGCAGCCTTTCGTTCATTCTCTGCCTCTCTTCTCCTCATGCTCGTCTTTCATTCTAGACTGACCCAAGCCTTTGCAGAGGTCATCAATAGTTAAAGACTTAGAGACCTCCCGTCCCTTAACAGTCTGCCTGGGACGTCTGACTGAAACAAAGCTCGAGACACCGCACACACACACATACATACATATGCACACTCACAAGGGCATGCGAGAGGGACGCAGGATGTGGTCGTTATAATTTCATGACCCGTCAGTAGTTGAGACATAACATAGCTGCCTAAATTATTCAATTTACTCCAGCCAGCTTTTTCCGTTCAAATGGACGGGTGGCAGCTTGCTACGTCATGACGCCGTCCATGTCGTCGTCAGGCAGATTTTGACCTCGTTGACGAAGCTGAGCTAATAGGTAAAGTAATAGCTTAACACAAAAACAGCTTATCTCGACACATATTGGAAATATTGGGGGATGGTGTTGGATAGCTGCCCATTTTTCCCCATGTAATTAAAGTGTAGTCCGTATCCATATTGGTCCATTTCTTGGCAGGCACACTGCAATGTTGCTGTAAGTATGCTCCCATAATTACAGTTTCTCAGGCAACTGCCGGGACAATCAGTGTAATGTAAATAAGATTTTGGTTGGATTTTCAACGGTTTACAGTCTAACCAAAAAGCAATCATGGAATTTATGGATGCAGTCTGGTGGATTAAGTATAATCCTTACCATCACCCAAACACACACATATGGCCATATGTACTCATCTCATTCCTCCGTCGATTTCAATCTTAAAAGTATTAAAGGCCTGCCCTTAAGATGACTCTGTCCAAAATCCCATGTTGCCTAGACCTTGTTGACTAATTAACCTTTGACTTCAGTAATTAGGCCTGTTGGTGCAGGACAAAGAGCATGGTGAAGCTATTGCTGGAATCTTTGAGCTTAAGCCATGGAAAACCTCAACATGATGGCTTTCTGGAGTTTGAATCTTCTCCTGTTTGAATCTTAAAAAAATGATTTGGTAATGTCTTCTACAGTTTGAATTGTAGACACAAGAGGTTTTAGCGGTTTGAATTTTTGATTTGACACGTCTTTTAGCCATTTGATTATTCTTCTAGTTGAATCTTAAACACAATGATTTTAAGCAATGTGAATCTTCAAATATATCAGATTCCCTTTCCTATTTATTTGGCTCCTAAACCTTCATTTTTAATGGTGACTCAGGACCTGATTCTACTCTTTATTATGCCCTGATGGCATGACAGAATATAACGACCATAAAATCTGTCCTTTTCTCTGACAGTGATTCCTCTGGAATTTCTACCTCAATGTCTCATGAATGCAAGAGTTTTCCATATCTCAAAACTCTTTGCTTGACACTTTCCTCTTACTAAAAATAAAAACTTTTATTTTGTCAATAGAATTGTCAATGACTTTCAGTGACTCTATGACTCGGTTTTGTGTTTGGGCAAATTGTTGACACTTGACTGCATGTCACCATCTGGGCATCTGGAGCAAGTCTGTCTTGTTTGTTCGTCTGTCTGTCTGGTTCTTCCAGCCACAACACATTCGTGTTCACCGTTTAATGGGAGTACCTCAAGTCTAAATGCTCGGCCCTCCCTCATTCCTGTTTTCACTGCCCTGCTGAACCATTATGAGTGTATCGGTCCCTGTGGATACAGCATGCATGCACACACACACACACACACACACACACACACACACACACACACACGCACACACACACACACACACACACACACACACGCACACACATGCACACACACATACTGAAGATTGTGTAGCCTTGAGCATACATGAAAAGGGGCAAGCAGGGGTAAGATGGGGCAGTCTTCCATATGGATTCTTCTGCCCTATAAAACACTAGCTAAACCTTATCTCTCTAAGGGACATCGCTAGTGGCTACTGGATTTAAAAAAAGAAAGGTAAAAATGAGAGGACAGCGGAAGATGGAAATGGAGAAATGGAGGAAAGGTAGAAAGAGAAGAGCAAGGAAATAGAACGAAAATAAAAATGCATGCAGCATATCAAGTGAAGCATATCTTTGTTCACATCTCATGTTTAACGTACAGTCTACTGGTGACACAGGTTCACTGGGTCTACTGGTAACACCTGATATGACTAGTACATGGTGTACACATACCTCAGTGCATCGTGTTGTGTTGTTCTTAAGGTTGTGGTTCAACTGCATTGAATGTTAGAATCAATTATAATCAATTATGTTAATAATTTGGAGAATATGAGCCTAATTTCTGGCCAAAATACAATTCTCTGGCTACTTTTTAATTGAAAGAAACAAAAGCTTGGTCTAATGTTTTTATTGTCTGTATTCCATTCTGAAAATAATCTAATTAGATTGAATCGTGGTGAAATTGTGGAGTTTCCATCTTATTGAATTCCACAAACCTCCCACAGAAGAATGGAATCACATCTATGGTGGCTTTGTTGGAGTGTTTATCCAACCCTCATGGATTCCACCAAAGCATATTATGTGCATAATTTCCAGCGCCTCCAACTTGGGGCAGTGATAAATAACAAACACTTTTCCAGTGAACATGGCATTGTGGAAGTCTCAGCATGGTTAAAGGCAGCTTATATGAACACAGTGGATGACTTATCCTTTACGTCATTGAAAATCAGGAGGTGCACCCTGATGTCCTTCCTTTCCAGTGAGAACTGAACCTCTGGCCACAAACACAACCATGGATTGCATCAGCCTTCCTCAATGAAGCATATCCTGCCATAGCTTATAAATATAATTGTACTGCTTCCTCATACCTCCCTTTCTAAAAACAATAAACAGGTCATTGTGACAACTGTGGTCACTGTAACTAAGGTCGGTAACTTTTCACTGAAGATATTTGTAAAGCTATATGTCACCTACTTTAGCCTTTCATGACAATTATAATAAACCTACATAAACTTTCATAAAGGCTTATTTCAACAAGCTTCAGTTGTCATAAAGGCTGCTTTTGTCCATTCTGAGGTCATTTCGCCTCAGCAGATGCTACAGCAATGGAGCCTTGTTGGAATAGTTAGTACGACTCTACTACTTCACTATTAATTTCAAAATTATGAATTACTTTTCTTTATATTCTTTTTATATACGTTTTACTCATTTTATTATTTAATACGTTTTTTTTTTACTTTCATAACCCCATTCTGAACTGCACTGTTTATAAAATGTGCTATACAAACATAGCTATTCTTACTTTTGCTGCTGTTGTTTTCAGTCTATGTCATGTAGAAACCATTTAAAGTTATTGTTTCACAACTCTATCTTCAAACAATGTACTTTTCAGGTGTATCCTATAGCTTGACAAGGCATCATGTAAAGCTATTATGTAACCCAAAACCCAAGCTCCCTCACATCCACCCTTCTGTTATCCTCATTCAGGGGAGTCATGGAGTCCCCTGGGTGGGTACTGAGTTCAGCTGCCAGTCATTGGGTTCTGCATGGGGAGTTCTTGCCTTATCAGCCCTTGTTTCCCACTAGTCTTATCTAGGTCTTATCATTTCCACAGAGGAGTCCTGAGGTCTGTTTTTCTGTGGCTTGCAGAAACATAGAGAGATGTTTCACTGCAGAAAGCAGAATGTAACAAACCTGTTACTTTTTGATGAGGTTTTTGTGGACAACTTTCACAGTAATTTCACACAAAAGTGGAGCAGAGTAATTGGTGTTAGGTCTTTGTTCTCATACCTGGAGATGCTCAATTGCTTTTCAGACAAAACTTTTTTGGAGAACAGTTTGTCCTACCTGTTTTCCCAGTTACTGGAAAACATGTCCTCTACTGCTCCTACTGGTTCTCTTCTGTATTTGATTTCTTACATATTGAAAGCAAAAACATTTAGAATCAATAGTAGGTTCCAGAGATCAATGGCTTTGGCCAGAACCAGCCTACCAAATGTTAAGTCAATCTGCTTGGCTAAAGATGGCTCAGTTACCATTGAAAAGCTGTTTACTATTTCACGAAAAGAATGTATGACGAAGCAGTGGAATTATATTTAAATCATAGCAGGATATGGTTCATCGAGAAAGGCTGATGCCGGAAATGCGTCCAATACACCCTCGTTTACTCATACCTTCATGAGCGGTGGGATCTTCCTGGGGTGAAGTTCCTCATCCTTCCAACAGTCATTGGCTTCCTTCTTTTGAAGAGCTGCCTTCATAACTTGAACCCTTCTCATAGAACTCCAGGAAGAGAGCTGGTGACTATTCCTCTCAAGTGCTTTTACACAAATTGAGGTATGAAGGGGATGCCAAAAGTGTCCAGTTGGTTGAACAAGGGTTTTTTTTTTTTTGTGAGGAAGCAAAGCAGATGTTATGACCTTAAACAATAATATTACTCATCATGTGGTCTACTAAATAGTTAAATAAGATTGACCGGTTAAAACTCAACACATCTAGGAATATTTCTGTTAGTTATCTACACTATTTCAATGTAATTACATGATTATATTGTTTATTACATAGTTACTAATGGATAAGATTTATATCTGCTTTAAATTCTGTATATGCAGATACACTTCTGAACTTTTTTCATGTGTTTGTATCAAAAACATGTTAAAATTGTGAAGTATGGTCACTGTTTGTACTAAATGATACTAAAGCAACAACAATAACATCTTTTCAACAAATTCAAATCATAAAACAAACTTAGTTTTGGAATTAAATCCAGTAATTTCCACTGAATTTATCTGCTTGTTTCAATTATTAGTGAGAAATGATGTAAAATTGTGACACATTTTTTTATTGCTTTTACTATTCATAATTAATAACTAGTTATCCTTCTTGTGATGATAGATGGACAACGGCAAATCAGATCTTTAGTGGAACAACATGTTTTTCAATACCAACATGTAAACCTAGCAGAACTAATTATGCATGTTATCTATTTCACAGATATTCCATGCTAACACAGACCCATCCGAAGTGGTGCTGAACCGAGTTCCTCAGCCTGTTCTGGCCCGTTTCGTCCGCATTAGACCCCAGGCCTGGAAGAATGGCATCGCCCTGCGTTTCGAGCTTTATGGATGTCAGATCACAGGTGTGTGGACTGACCTTTCCTCTTGCCCTCGTATATTACACAGTGATGTCATCTTATCAGAGGTTCACAATCTTTTAAAAGCCTTTATCTTCCAGTAGTTTCACTCAAGACCTATGAAATTATGTTACCTTACTTTTTATCCACTAGAAACACATCCATCATATGACAGAAATCTGATTTTGTTCATGCTCTGTAGTCAGAGTTTAGTGCTGTAGCATGTCATCATTTTGATTTATTCAGCATGTAGTGTCCTTGCTAGTTCTCTACGAGTACATTTCTTGGATCTTAAATTCTGAACCATTGATCCATGTTTCTAATCTTCTTACCCTGTGCACACCCTGTACCCATTTGCACACCATTGGTGATAAAAGCAGCAAGGCAATTAGTTGAGCTAAATGCAAATATATGCTACTATGGACAGTAGCCTAGTCGTAGGAGAAGTGAGCCTGCAATCAGAAGGTATTGGGTTCAAATCCCAGGACTGACTGGGGTATACTTAGTTGTGCCCTTGGGCAGGGCACTTAACTCCCTGTTGTCCCAGTTGGCATTGCTCCCAGACTAGGCACAGTGAGCAAAATACATAGAATAGGCACAGCAAAATGGTAAATTTCCTTTGCAGGATCAAGAACTTGAAAGTTTTCGGCACACTTGAAGTTGTTAAATCACCAGCACACTTGCTGTTAAATTGGGTCACATTTGGTCCATGCATTGATAACGAAACATGTGTAGAATAGCCTACTTTAGCCTGCGTAGGCTACATTCATTCACTACAGGAGACAAAACTATCTTACTCTCACTTTGTTTACACCACTACCTAGGCTAATTGCTAGTGTATATTGGTTCCTCTTCCTTTAAAAATGGAGCAAGGATGATATTTCAGTTTAACTTGCTGCCTGCCGTTGCTTGGTTTGGTCCACCAGTGACCAACCACCTACTGGACGGCAATGCATAGCAATTTAGTTTACATTTTGCAGCAACTCTGAATACTGTTCTAAACGTAGTTAATAAATAAAATGGAATGGAATTGTCATCATTCTGTAGAACTATGAAAACTACGTAACTACGAAAGAGCATATTTGTGGGCAGAGCACAGCTATGGCAGTTAAATTTACCTTTGAGGATCAATAACTCTCCCTTTGGGGATCTCCTTCTTTCATTCTCCTCAGACGCTCCATGTTCAGAGCTCCAGGGAATGCTCTCAGGTCTGCTGCCGGATTCTCAGATCACGGCTTCTTCAGTGAGGGACCTGCACTGGGCCCCTGGAGCCGCCAGGCTTGTGGCCAGCAGATCAGGCTGGTTTCCTGCTCCAGCGCAGCCCCTGGCTGGAGAAGAGTGGCTCCAGGTAGACTTGGCCACTATCAAGATGGTGCGTGGGGTCATCACCCAGGGGGCGCGCAGTGGAGAGGTGGGAAGCAGCTCGGACAATCGGGCCTTCGTCCGCAAGTACCGCCTGGCCCACAGCCTCAACGGAAAAGACTGGAACTTTGTGATGGACAGCAAGACCAGTATGCCCAAGGTTTGTATCTGACCATGCTTCTTCAGTTTCTTTGCTAGTTTATGTAGCAAACAAGTCAATGCTGGGGCTTATTAAGTGACCTCAAATAGACTTGCTTGTGTGGTTTGGCACTATGTGGTAAAGTGTGATTTATAATAAATGGACGAATGGAGTTGCAATCAAAACTATCGAACGCAGACCTCAGCTTCTTGGGATGTTTTGACTAGAAGTCTGTTTTAATTTATGATATCAGTGTCTGTGGATGGCTATCAATTCACCAAATATTTAAATAGACTTTACAGCTGCCATGCATGCCATTAAACATGCTAAATATTATATAACACAGCTTTATATCCCTTAGCAACATCACTTTGACAGAATTCACTATTATTCAAAACTTTTTATCATTTTCACCTTTTCATTCATGAATTTCTCTCACTACAATACCCAGCGTGCACTACACAAATACATCATAAAACCCTTGAGAATCCCTGTGGTGTGAACCAACCCTGACTGCTAGCCTAGCCACTGACCTATTGGTCAATAAATACAAGCAAGATAGCAATAGTATAACTCAATTGTGAATAAAATTACAAAGAAAGCAGCAATTCTGTCGTTATTCAGTACTAAATGGTTATTGTTTTTACCCTGTGAGCCAGAGAAAAGAAGCCAAACTGAAATATGTTGATAGTTGTTGCCATGTTGCTCAGCTTAGACTCCAGTAATAATGCTATAATTATCAGTGTTGTTTTTCCCTGTCCTCTGGGAAAGTAATTGTAGAATCTGTCCTGTTTTTCTCTGTGTTGTAGATCTTTGAGGGGAACTCGCACTATGACACTCCAGAGCTGAGGCGCTTTGAGGAAATCCCAGCCCAGTTCATCAGAATCTACCCCGAGCGCTGGTCCCCCGCCGGCATCGGCATGAGGATGGAGGTGCTGGGCTGCAGCTTGCCAGGTAGGACCTAAACACATTCACTAATGTAGATGAAGTTTCTCTGGCATTAAGTCATGCTATTCCTGCCAGTTTCATTCCAGTAAAGGAAGAGTGAAAATTTACATGCAGAAAATGTTCCCCTTACCCCAAATATAGTTGATCACACAAGACATATTTGGTGTCCGAGGTTTGGTTCTTTAGTTTTGTACGAGGAAGCTCATGCAAACAATTTAGCATCTTCAGCTTCATCTTGACAACTTCTTGACAAGCTAGGAGAACAAGTCTATTTGAATTTAAGATGTTAATATCTGTTGATGGCTATCAATTCACCAAATACTTGGATTGGCATTACAACTGCAAAGGTCATAGTACTCAGTGTTCCTTCAGTTTGGCTGTGGTAACTGGAGGATTTCTACTGTGGGGGAAAAAAATAGAACAGAGAATGTGCATGCAAGTAAACCAAGAACTTAAAAGTGCTTTAGCTTTGCTAAAGCTACTCAGAATCAAGTGTGTGTCAAATACAAAGAGTTCTGGGTAGCACTTTACTTAAACCCTGCTACATAACCTTGACATAACCATGCCACAAACATATCAGATGTCATATGAAGTCATGCATCTTCATGACAGCTTATGTCAAGTTATAAAACAATGTCACGTGACAAATGACACAAACCTATATAGATGCTTCTAGTGACCTATTCCACCAGTTGTCATTACACTTGCTGTACAGAAATGACATCAAAATGGACCAAAAACCTGATGGAATAAGCCCTTTTAAAAGTTCATGTCGGTTTTTGCGTCACTGGTCATGAAAGGCTTATGTTGGTGCCATGTTACCTTACAATGCTGCCCTTCAGTTACCTTTATTTATAACTGACAAATATAGGTATTTTATACATTAATGAAAAAATACTGGGTTAAAAGCAACACAGTGTGGTTCATGTTGATGACCCAGCTCTGGGTCACTATAGAACAAAACACACTGACCCAGAATCACCAGGTTAGACCCAACAAACCAGGTCATAAGAGTCACCTGAATATATGTTTTGTGAGATTTGCTTTTAATTTTAATTTTTATATTATAAATAATTTCCTTTTGCTCAATAAAATCAATGTATAATCATTAAAGTATTATTGCACACATACAAGAAATGTATTACTTTCGAACAACTTATTTCAGTTGTAATTAAGCTATGACTAAATATATTAAACACATTCAGTTGTGCTTTAGAGGGCTTTATTGGGCAACTTAAGCTGCACTTAAGTAGATTTAAGTGTGTAATTTGTAGACATTATTACAATACTGTTACACATAGAATACAAATATACTACCAGATGTGCTAGTACGCTTAAGTGCTACTTATTGAGTTCTCCTGGAAATAAAATGCACTTTAATTCCTTTTTCAATTAGATTTCAGTACTACTAAATACACTTAAATGCATTCAAGAAGTAAAGTATGTATTTGAGTGTACTTTTCTAAGACATATTATTAGGAACAACTAAACATAATTCATGTATCAGAAAATTGTATTTAAGTAATAGATCTTCTATTTACAAGAGCTTTTGAATTCTAACTAGGCAATTAAGTTGATCAATTGTTAACTGTGATATGTGTGAATGTGTAAATGCTTTGAGTGTATTATTATCTTTATTTCATTGCTAGTTAGCTAGCAACTAAAATGTATAGAAGCACACTTTAAAAGTCACTGCTATAGAAAATACTTCTAAATAGTACACTTAATTTGATGACGAATACACTTTTAAATAATAATATATAAGTATTTTTAAAAACATGTATTCAGCTGTGTTTCCTTACAGCTCAATTAAATATATTTTAAAATGTGTTATTTTTATAGCATGCAGGGCCATTCAAAGGCTTTCAAAATGAACTTTTTTTGTTAAATATGGAAAAGTATACTTTACATGTATTTCCATAAACTACATCACATAAAAAGGAAGGATTCTTTGTGTATGTTTTGGGTACTTTGTGTAATTCAAGTATACTTTTGGTGTACTTTTGGTAGTATGCTTCTATCTATTAACTAATGCTAAGTTAGCAGTGTAGTCAGCTGGTAGGCCATCGTTAGCCAACTATAATAAATGATTATACAAATAATGTTAAAGTCTGCCTAAAATACCTACTGTTCAGATACAAATGTCAACAAATGTCATATAATAGGCTGCAAGTATTAGTTACCCTTCAGTAAGAGAGTGGAAACAAGCATTATAGCAAAAATAATCCTGTCCGTCTTGCAACACAACCAGAAATATACAGTTTATGATATAGATATCTTGAAATAAAAGCTATCTATAATAATAGTAAGTAGTAAAAAGACATTATATGGAGGTTTACTTACCAGTTCTACTCAGCTGATTATGATTTGAAAACAAAGCCTTTTGGCTGGGTTATTATTGTAATACAGTCACTAATTTGGCAGCTGGGCCCAAAAACTCCCCAACATTGTGGAAGTGACCTGACAAAATGACCCAACAGGCTCAACCCAGAGCGAAAGGTATATCATAAACAACCACCATGTTATAGAGGCTGAGAAAAGAAGTGCTACAGCCTCCCCGGTGTCCACTACATAACCTGTGCCATGTTGTCAGTGTATATTTGTGTAATCTATTAATTTACAGTGATGTGTATTTGAACATCTGCTTGTGCTGAACCACATTACTATAGAGTGAAGGACACACACACACACATAAGCTTCATGAGTTACACACACACACACACACACACATCAGTGAGTGGTGAGCAACAGAGAGCTTGATGGTGTGCCAATAATCCACTGTGTTCTATTATTTATTACTGAGGTAATGGCTTGAGCATGTGCGTGTATGAGTTTGTGTGTGTGTGTGTGTGTGTGTGTGTGTGTGTGTGTGTGTGGAAGTGCACGCTATACTCCCATGTTCATTGCTGGAGTCTTCTCTTTGTACCTATGCCAATGGAATCGTGCCAGTCAGCGCCCCCTGCGGAGTAATACCAGTAGTGTTAGTTCATTAGTGTTCAAATATACAAAAATATTCTGTAGAAAAGTGAATATTCTTCACTCTTTTGTGTGTTTGTGCACATCTATGTGTGTGTCTGGATAATATCTTCTTTTGTGGATTCATGTTTTCCATGTTTCGTTCTGTCAATACAGAACAAAAATCACATATAAGTGTAATTCATTAGTAATTACATGTTAGTAATTATATAATTACATAATTTTGTCACATTTCATTGTAAGCATTCCATATATTTTTTTTTTGTTGTTGTTTTTAAAAATTAGTTAATAAATAATCTCCTGAAACACTTTAGCATAAAGTCTAGGTTTTGCCTTGAAGGTTATTTGGAGAGATGCTTTCTAGATATTTTTGCATTCAGCTCTTAACTCACCTTAATTTTGGCTAACCCTAAACTGAACTCTAAACTTGACCTCAACCCCAAACCTAACCCTGGTCCAAATCCTAACCTTACCACTGTTGAGAGTTTCACCAGACAGTTTAACAATTTGAACACTGGAATTTAATCTTTTTCACTGTCCAAATAAAGTGGTAGCGGTTTAGGATTAGGGATTAGATTTAGATTTTGGGTTAAAGTTAAGATTAGTCTAAGGGTGGACGTTAGAGTTAGGTGGACACTTAGGGTTATATTTAGGTTTAAGTTTAGGGCTAGGGTTAAAGTTAAAGTTGGGTGTAGGTTTGGGGTTAAATTTAAGTTGAAGATTAGGCTTAGGGTTAAGGTTTGGTGTAGGTTTAGGGTTATATTCAGGTTTAAGATTAGGGTTAGGGTTGATTTAGGCTTATATTTAACAGAATCTGTTATTTTCAACTTGATGCTCTGTTGCATTTCAAAAGATATTGAGCTCAATTTTAGTTAAAGACAAGGTAAGTGTCTTTGGAGAATCTAAGGTGACACATTGACAAAATAAAGTCTCCCCCAGTTACTTAGCGATCGTGTAGCCAAATGATCTCCAGACTTGTAAGAGTTTGTGAGCACAGCAATTCAAATAACTGTCAGTGTAACAAAGAAAGCATTTGTATGTGTATGTGTGTGTATGAGTGTGTGTGGAACAGGTTTATGCCACATTGTGGGGACCAAAACCTGTTCATACACTCACATTTTTGCGGAATTTTCTTCTTTATGGGGACCACAAGCTGGTGCCCACAACGTAAATCAATCAATTCTAAGCTTAAGCTTAAGGTTAAGGGTAAAGGTTAGGGTTAGGCTGGTAGTAGTTCCGGTTAAGGTTTGAGCAAGTCTTTGGAAGTCTATGTAATGACCCCGCAATTCACCAAAACAAGACTGTTTGTGTGTTTTTGAGTTTGCGTGAGTGTGTAAATTGCTGATCTCTCATGTGAACTCCTGTTCCATATTTCCGATCCCCCCCTGAAAGAATACACACTCCCACACATGGATGTATTCTCCCTCTCTATCTCTTTCTCTCTCTCTCTCTCTCTCTCTCTCTCTCTCTCTCTCTCTCTCTCTCTCTCTCTCTCTCTCTCTCTCTCTCTCTTTCTCTTCTCTCTCTCTCTCTCCCTCTGAGGGGAGTGCTTTTGGCTGTGTAAATGTTTTTGTTCTTCTCTCTCTCCTCGCCTCTCCCTCGCTCTCTGTTTGTCATCAGAGACCTCTCCACACTCTTTCCCAGACACACACACACACATATACACTTTGTTACATCTGGTTGATCCGAGTCTGTCAGCATTTTACTGTTTTCATTACGCATCATAAACAAGCTCAGATTTCCACACAGATATTCATTATCTTAACCCTTACAAGTCTAAATTTATTACTGTTCTTTTGCTGTACTATTTAAATGTAATTACATAATTAATCACATAGTTATATATTGACTTACATTTACATTCAATTTAAACCTTATTCTAACAGCCACCATTCAGGCTTACTGTGGCATTGCATAGCAAAGCGTTCAGGATGTCTACATTGAAAACGTCCAGTTTGCATATCAAGTCAAAATATAAACAAACTATAGCCAATTGCTCAAAACTTCAATTGGGAGGGCCTTATGTTCAA